TTAAAGGTAATTAGCTAGCTTATTGTCATCAGGGTTCTCAGAAAATGTATACTTTAGTAAATATCAGATCAATTGAGGTGAACATTTTCAGCCACTTCTTTTGATAAAAGGAATTGCATCTCAATTGCCATCAACCTTACTAGAGCAATCTATTGTTTCGTTACCTGAGCATGCTCGTTGATCACCGGTCCGGTGACCTTCGATATCTCAAATGAAAAATTTGACGACTGCTTCCGTGGACTGACATGCTATGCATACTTTGTTAGTACTTAGGCGATATAAAAGGACTAACTTTAAGGATGAGTCGTACGGTTTTGTTTAAACACGCGGACGATTTATTCATAGCTTATATCCAATTCTTACTGGAATCTGACTAAAAACCAGAAGGTACACGAGTCCAATTATTTAAAACTTAAAACTAAACGGAGTAGTATCATAAATTTAATATTGCTTCTCATTTGCATAAACAATTAATCATATTATCGTCTGACTGAATAGTCATTCAAGGCTGTGGAGCACGCAATGTTGTCACCGCTAAACATGCGCACGCTGACAGGCTTTAAGGTGCGGGCGCATAATTTCGTGTGAGGACTGAGAGCACACTGCTAACCGCCATCAATAGTCCTCGCTTTGTTTATCAAACCCACAATTTTAATATAATGCCTAAGCTCCTTGTCTGTACACACCTACTAACATACATAACAAATAAACGTGTTCCGTGTGTTACATCTGTCTCCCCTATAGCTTTGCAGTAGCTTAGCTTGTTCTGGGAGTTTTTCCAAACATAGGAAAATCTGCCATAGAGATCTCCGAGTATAATCTAGGCTTATTAGTGTAGCATTCCTCTACAAGACCTCCACTATTATAAATTGGACGTTAATAGTTCATAAATTTCGATTAAACTAATTGATAACGAAGTAAACCTTCTTTCCAGAATTTAAATTAATTTATGAAACTAGTTGTTTGAAGTCAAAAGGTGCTGATGGAAAAAAACGTAGGACCACGAATTCTACCTTTAATTTTCAAGCCTAGGGGTGTGCGACAGACCTACCTCCACTTGGTGCACCCTGGGCAACGTATACTCATATGGCAAAAGAATCTATTAACCGGCAGTTGACTTTTGACTTCAAACTACCATGACCCGACTGTATGTCATATTCGATCATTTCCACAGTACTCACCTCAAATTCTTTCTACCCTTGTGTCTGTCTCTTTTACATCTTTAAAACGTTCTTCTGTTCCTCCCCCCCCCCCCCTCTCGACTTTTTTTTCACTTTGATGTTCCCTCCCCTCTGTGAAGCCTGAAATCAACCAAAGGACTAACGATAACTATCAAAACGCCCGCCATTTGACATAGATAAATTTTCAAGCCCACGAATATTTCGGTTATCAAATAAAACCCTCTGTATTCAATCATCCCTACTGTGGCCCCTTTCGAAAAAATATCCACATATTAAATTTTAAATAAATATAATTACCACATAATTACTTTCATAGTGGCAATTTTAGAAATTGGTTGCAAAATTGTTTCCCATATATACATATATATATATATATATATATTTATATAATTTTTCTGATCGGAAAGGCGAGAACTTTGATGTTCATCTTCCACTTTTGTTTTTAACTACCTTCTTAAGTTGGTTAAAAGTGCTGCTCTAGAGCTCACTAATATTATATGGTTTAAATTCTCCAGTCAACTTTTATGGAGTTTGCAATTAAAAGGATGGCAAATTTTGGATCCTCGGCAATCAATTCAATAGTAAAAAAAGGCGAATACGAAGTTTCATACACGTTCTCTTACGACTTGCCAAGTTGCAGTTTATTAATTTTGATGAAAAATATACTTACTTATTATTATCAAATGGCGTGTGTTATGATAGTTATCATGGGGTGCGTAATAGACTTACCTCCACGTGGTGTACTCTGGGCAACGTATACTCATACGGCAAAAAAGTCTATTAATCGACAGTTGATTTCTGACTTCAAACTACCATGACCCCACTCTATGTCATATTCGACTCCCTCAACAGTACTAACCTTACCTTTTTCTCTACCATTGTTCCTGTCTGTCGCTTTTACATCTATTAATCACTCTTCTGTTCCCTCTCTCGACTTTTGTGACTTTGATGTTCGTTCTCCTCTTTGTGAAGCCCAAAGTCAACTAAAGGGCTAATGGTAACCATCATAAAGCCTGTCATTTGATATAAATAAATGCTGGTTATCATTAGTCCTTTAGTTGACTTCAGGCTTCACGGAGGGGAGGATCAGCCAAAGTCACTAAAGGTAGAGGGAAGGGGAACAGAAGAGTGATCCACATATATGAGGAAGATGGAAAGGTAGAGAAAAGGGTAATGTGAGGACTATGGAAGTGGTCGAATATGGCATACTGTCGGTCATGATACTTTGAAGTCAAAAGTCAACTGACGGTTTGTAGACTTTTGTCGTATGCGTATACGTTGTCCAGGGTGAACCACGTGAAGGTAAGTCTATCGCACAAAATATGTAGATCCAAACAGGTAGATGAGCTTGTTTAAGCAGACCATGTCATAATTATCTGGCCAGGCTGATATTCTCATGCAAATAGTTTGAAAAAAAACAGTTAAACAGTTTTTTAATGTCATTTCCTTCGTATTATAGGAATTCCAAATGGCAAATTACAAAATTATGACAAAAAGTGAAGTGTTTGGAAGTGATTTCAAGTCCTGTAGTTGTTCAACCACCTCAAAATCCTTATTCAATAGAACTTGGGATTCAGTTTTTACTTCGGAATTCGTGCTCATGTAAGAAGGACACTATTTTATGTCCAATGTTCCCTAACTCACTGTTATCATTTAAGGTTCTCAATTGCCAATCAGAACTAAAAATAGCAAATTATGGTAATTGCCGATTCTGTTCATAATTGCTAACTAATGTTCACTAATGGAAATACTTTTTATCATTCAAAGTTTACAATTTCGAAATGATGGAAATTTAGGTTTGAATTTGCCAAAATTAAAATAATGCTTGCTTAAATTTTCATATTCATTTTGTGGGTATAATCTGCTGATAAACAAGAAATAGTCCCACCTCTTAAATGATAGCTTAAATTAAGTTAAAAACGCTTACTTCCACTTCCTTTGTTTTATGAATAATCGATTATTCCGGAAACGTGTTAAAAGAGCTCAATGTTTTAAATTGCTTGTAATTTGTTTAAATGACGCCAATTGCACCAATCGAAATTTCAAACACAATACTCGGATTAGACGTTAACTGAGAGTCAAACAATTGCTATTTATTAAATTCTTGGGTATTTAATTTAAGCTAAATTCAGAAACTTGAGGTATAAATTAGAAGGTCAAAAAATTTATAATACGCTTTTTTTCTTTTATTTGTTGTCATTCACCTGTGAATTTCAAGAATGACCAGTTAAGGCTTCCAAAATTTGGATTTTTTCCAGTTGCAATTATCATTTTCTAGGTAAAAGGTTATCATATATTTCATAATCTTTACCTGAGACAAGTCATAGATTCATAGTTTTTAATTAAATATTCTGAAAATGGGTGTAAACAGAGGATGTCAATGGCAAGAGTATTGATAAAGTTGAATACAAAGTCTGGAATAAGACCAAAAAAGGTTTAATTCATTCCAATTTATAATTGTATCAGGAGCAAAAATCTTATTCCATTGTCTTCTAATGTTCGCAATTTGGATACCTTAATTCCTTTTCAAATTTCATTTGGCGGGGTGTGCGATAGACTTACCTCCACGTGGTGCACCCTGGGCAACGTTTACTCATACGGCAAAAAGTCTATTAACTGGCAGTCGACTTCTGACTTCAAAATACCATCACCCCACTGTATGCCATATTCAACGCCTTCCACAGTACTCACCTTTCCTTTTCTATGCCTTTTTGTCTGTCTCTGTTACATCTGTGAATCATTATTCCGTCCATCCTCGGCACTTTGATATTCCTTCTCTTCTCTGTGAATCCCAAAGTCAGCTAAATGGCTAATGATAACTATCAAAACGCCTGCTATTTGAGATAAATACGTTTCATTAGTCATGTTCGAGGTTCATCAGTAGTAAATTAAAGTGGCTAGTTAATAATACCACTTTTCTTACAATGTACAAGAAATGCACAACAAAACCTACCTTCGTTTCTACTTCACGTCTCAATCAATTCAGATCTCTCTTCAATTATCTGCTTTCAGCCCTAGTTGGAGTAATAGATAACCTTTATTGACACTTCGCTTGACAGCAAGACATAGTAATTATACAATACTGGTTGTTTTTCGCTTTTACTCATATATAGAACAAATTCTTGTTAAATGATGGTGACTGATTTACTAATATCTCAAAGTACTGCGCAATGTAAATAGTCAGGTAATGACCCTCACTCTCCGAATTAACATTTTTTTCTCTTCTCATTGGGCAACTTCCCGTGAACATGGTAAGATTAGGTATCGATTAAGTAAACATTCCCCTCACCTATGACACCCTTATCTACACGTCTTTTCAGTTTATAAAAATGCAGAAATTTCGATTCCAAGCATAAAATTGTAAAGTACACGTACACACACGCACACACACCCACGGGCAACTGCCAACACATACCGTGACCTTTCGAAGCCGGAAACACGTCAAAGATGTTTTATGGTCCATTTGAACTTGATTTAAAACTCAAAATCTTGCGAATGCAATTTTACAAAAGGATAATTGCCCGTAACCTTGAACATGAAATGTTTGCCGTCTCAACGAAAGGGAATTCATGAGCACCTCTTCCCACCCCCCAAATAAATTTTGCATTATTTTATTCAAAAGCGCACATTATAATATGAGAATGAAATGTGTGACTTATAAAATCTTTTTTTTCTCAATTTAATATTCACAAAATATACAAATGAAAGAGGCTTATTACTGAAAATATTTCTTTTAAGTTCATTGGTATTGTTGCTTGAAATGTGCGGAGGAGGGTGGACTGGAAGGAGGAGTGGGATCAAATCGCAGTATTTGCGCTCCTAATTCTCGCAGTTAGCATCCTTGATGATAGTAGCAGAGGAAGCGTTATAATTGATTGAACGATCCGCATTGTCGTGATAGTATAAATCAGGGCTCTTGGACTTGCAGAGGTGGATAGTTTTGGTAAGAGCGTATAATCGCTCTCGAAAGTTCCTTGAACTCAGGAAGTATATGAGACAGTTGACTCCATAAGAAGCTGTTCCAAGCATCACGAAGAGGTAACCACATGCATCGAGAATACATCGAACGTAACTAGACGGGCTTCGTTTTAGTTGCATAGCATCCTCAATAATAGAAAAAATGCAAATGGGCACTGATGTGATTAAATGAAATACTCCTACAGGAATCAATAGGCGGTTAGCTTGAATCACTGATCGCTTCACTTTCATTGAAGCCCTGTTCTGTACAACCACTCGTGAATGCAAACCTTCTTCAATTTTAGTAATTCGAGCAGCTTTTTTCCTTCTTGAAGAGAAGAGATATCGGCCAGTGAATGTAGTTCTCTGTTGAATTACTCGATAGAGGGCAACATTTAAGACCAGAAGTAGAATAGTTGGAACAAGAGAATAAATCACGATATCCACAAAAAAGAACACCTTCCTGGCAGTCAAAGAGAGAGTGTCACATAGGAGTGGTTTTGAGACATTCGTCTTCTTATAATTCGGACCCATGATTTCATATTTGCCATTGTCATGATCGTAAATGAGTTGCATGATAAAGAGGAGCATGGAATTTTTTACGAAAATGACAGCGAAAATGATCACCCAGGTGCATATTTTTCGCTTTCCACGCCAGATAATCTTTGCCTTGTAGGGATAACAGCCAATTAGATATCGCTCGATGGTAAGAAGACACAATACCCAAATTGCAACATCCCGAGTGGCATAAGTAAGGAATGTTTGAAGACGACAGAGTGTTGCACTATTGTTCTGACGTATATCGAAACCGAAAACAAAAAGGATCCAATAGCGAAAGGGGTTGACCCATAAAGCAATCGTATCAGCAATAGCTAGAGCTGTGAAAATGGACTTTGAAGGGTGTTTTCGAATAGGCCTCCTATTGTGGACTGAATGTGGGCTGACAATTGATACACGACTGGGAACACTTAGTGGTGGCCTCGTATTATCTACAATGATGCGATCTGGAGAGTTTCGGCTAGATCCAGCCTCTGAAGGTTCTCTGGGAAATGAATAAGGTCTTTGATTGCAATTCGCACCCACACCTCGGATAACAAGTAAACTGATAATATTTCCAATTGTACCGAAAATTATGAGGAAGCCAAAATAGACATATCCAAATTTCCGAACGTACTCGAGAACATGCTGTTGACATTCAAGATTGTCTTCCCGATTATTTATTGAGCTCATTTATTGACATGAATGGAAGCTCCTTGTCAGAAAAGTTAAGAGACGTTCATTGAAATCGGTTAAAAGCAGCGCTCGAATTGGTTCTCGTCTAACGTTCTGATTGGATAGTTGATTGACCAATCGCTATGTCCTGGGTTCTGAACGCGTTTAAGATGTCTTAGTACTAGTCTGTAAGTGCTAATAATCTATTTAATTTGTCAAATGCAAATCTATTTTGGGACAGAAATAGTTTTTTTATTGTTTTAAATGAAGCAATTTCAATAGTGAGATTATTTTTTATTTATCTAATTACAGATATGTTTGGGAAATGTTCCTCAATATGGACAGTGGAATTTAGATGACTTAAGTAAATATTTTCATTAAGCTTTAATAAATTAAAGCCAACGTCACTGTTGTTATAAAGTTTGAGTTAGGAACCACTTGCTTATGAATTCCAGATAAAGTATCGGAATGTTTTAAACAGTCTTAAAAGTTGATTAAGTTTCAGACTTATGATTAAAGAAATTGGTAAACTACTTCAATGTTTTTAAAATATGTCCTAAAACATCTCTATCGTCTTGAAATCAATGACAAACACAGTAATTCGGCACGAAACATTATGGAATCCAATATCTCTGGTGAAAATTTAATAAAGAACTACAAATCTTAGGAAAACACAAATAAAAAAGGCATAAATGCCGACTGTATTTATATATTTGATTTAGTCTATTTGTAGATTTTTTCTTAAAATCCAATTTAAAAAATATGAAGCTCCTTCTTGAAGTCGCAATTATTGGTACTCTGTTCTCTGAAGACAGGGAAATTACAGAGAATAGTCTGTACAGTGCATGGAACGATCTCATTTCAATAGATTTTCATTTTTTTTTCATAAAAGAGGGTCTGAATTTCCTTGAGTTTACATCATCGCCATTCTCGAACCTATTTCATTACTATAAAGTTTGAATCATGTTAGTACGCGCGCAAGTTAAATGAAGTGTAAATAACGAGGTGGAATAACACCGTAAGGTGGCATCGAAATCAAGACATTGTGAGTCTTTAATTTAATTCTGGCAACATTGAGTTATGCATATTACCATATGAAATTCAATCACTTCTTCATTCTTCCTCTTTTTTTTTTAAAAAAATTTCAGGATTTGTCGCTGCTGTCCATGATTGAGATTGCACAGATGATATTCAGAGCATCTTAAGCGTTCGACTGTGTTTTGCTTTTGCGGTTACCCATTACATCTGGATTTACTAATTTCTTAGTGAATCGAAAACCCTTAGTTGAAATAAACAATAATCCTTTAAGCATAGCAGACATACCTTGAGTTCATTCAAAGGAATTCTTATGTTGACCTTCAACTCTCCTAAAACCTATTAAGTCTCTAATAACACAAGTTTAAAGAATGGGGCTGACAAAGCTTCTTTCTTTGGAGCTATATATTGAAAAGTTGGCCGATATAAGTTGAGATTTGTAGCAATATGGTCACTAAATCGTCCTTAATCACACGTATTAAAACGTTTATAGCCACATATTAGCCTGATAATTCAAGTTTCGAAATTAGTGACAGCTTCTAATCACCTCGGTATCAACCAATCCATTGAAATACGGCTATTGTGGTATGGGATTATTTCACGGTGCAAAAAACAAATACTACGATTTTTAATTTTACCTCAAGTGAATTATTTATATCAAATGGCAGGTGTTTTGATGGTAATCATCAGACCTTTAGTTATCTTCAGGCTTCACAGAGGGGATAGAACATCAAAGTGAAAAAAGTCGAGAGGGTGGGGGACAGAAGAGTGTTTCAAAGACGAAGGTAGTTAAGGTGGAGAAAGGTGAGGTGAGTACTGTGGAAGTAGTCGAATATGACATACAGTGGGGTCAATTTGGTTTGAAGTCAGAAGTCAACTGCCGGTTAATAGACTTTTTTGCTGAATGAGTATACGTTGCCCAGGGTGTACCACGTCAAGGTAAGTCTATCGCACACCCCACTTCAAATGAATAAAGATAACTTAATATTTTAAAACTTATTTTTCTTATTTGGAATGTGCCTTTAAACATACACATCCTGCCAAAATAAACGAAAAATAACGTATTTTGACATTTTTCGTTCACTATTTTTCTTTATGCTTGGAAGAAGCCTTACATTTCTGCAATAAATTATGGACAAAATTATGCATGGGTTAACTATAAAGGAAAACTATTAGGTTGGCAACTAAGTCATTGCCGATTTCAAATAAGAAGGCAAATTCGGAATTTTTGTCTAAAAATATAACTTTATTCAATTAGATATTGGCCGTTCTTGTCGATGACCTTTTCCCATCGTTCTGGCAGAGTAAAAATTTCCCGTTCGTAAAATGTCTGGTCTTTACTATTAAAAAACTGAATTAGGTGTGATCCGACATCATCCGCGTTGTTACAAATTTTACCATTTAAAGAGTTTTGCACGGAACGAAACAAATGGTAATCCGAAGGCGCAAGGTCAGGGCAGGGCTATATGGTGGGTGTGACAAAACATCCCAACCCAGTTCCAATCA